CTCTCCAGCAGGCCTGATTGGGGTATTGACCTTGGCAAGAGCATTGTCACTTAGCTTCTTTATAGCTTGTTGGATTTGGTGCTTATTGGTCTTGACATTCCCAGTGAACACAAGTGTGTTGTTGTCCTCAATCTTTTGATCTCTGTGATCAGGAGGAACTTGATGGCACAGTGGTCAAGCTTGTTTCTTCTGGGGGTGCTCTTCTGAGGATATTTGGGCTGCCTCCAGAGCCGCAGTGTCTTTGGATGGTAAAAGGTGGGTGACATTTGTATCTTCTTTTTGTGGCTGTCGATGCCTTTCAGCATGACCTTCTTTGTCTTCAAATCTTTTGCTTTGGCTTCAGTTTTGGGAAGGGCAGGGACTTCCTTCTTTGCATTCGGCAGCATCTTGGTAAAAAGACTCTCCCAACCTTTTTATTTTTTTAAGTGTATTTAGGAAGGGTCTACAGGGTCTCACTACGTAGATCGGACTTGTAGTGATTCTTCTGTTTTCAGCCTTCCAAGTGCTGGGATTACAGGCACATGCCACCATGCCCAGTCTCAATCCCTGTTTTAGCATGCCCAAGAGGCCGGGTCAGCACGGCCCTCTGGGGAATCAAACCCTGGCTCCTGCTCTCTGCCTAAGCAAGTGCTTTAGTCCGCTGAGCTATCTGGCTGGCCCTATATGGTCTATTTTGGGTAACATCCCACGTGTAATTGAGAAGACTAATTCTGTTGTTGCTGGGTGAAACACTCTGTAAATGTCTACCTAGTGAGTTTCTTCACAAATTTGGTTTAGTTCTGTTATTTGTTTGCTGATTTTTTGCCTAGTTGATCTCTTTGTGACTGTGGCATATTAAAGTCCCCCATTACTATTGTATTATTGGTCATTTGATTTTTTTATGTCTGCTAAAATTTGTCTTATGTAGGAAGGTTCTCCTACATTGGGTGCATATATGTTTATAATTGTTATGTCTTCCTCTTGGAGTTTTCCCTTAACAAGTATGTAGTGACCTCTTTTTGGGTGATTTGTGGTTTGAAGTTGATATTGTCAGCAAGCAGGATAGCTACCTCTGCTTTTTTCTGATTTTTTGTGGCATGGAGGATGGTTTTCCATCCTTTGACCTTCAGTCTGTGAATTTCCTTTTGAGTTAAATGTATTTCTTACATGCAGCATATTGTTGGATTTTGTTTCTTAATCCACTGTGCTAGTGCTAGTGTGTTTCGTTTGATTGGTGAATTGAGGACTCTTACATTGATGGTATAACTGATACGTATTGGCTTATCTTTGTCATGCTATTTTATTGTTAGAGGTTCTACGCTTTTTCCCTCTTTTTAATTACTTGCTCTGTTTAGTGGTTCCTTTCTGTGGTTTTTGAAGCTGTGATCACTTCTCTTTCTAAAATATGTCAGTACTCTTTATAGGAGTGGTTTGGTGGTTATGAATTTTTTTCAATTGTTGTTTGTCATGGAAGGATCTTATTTTGCCATTGTTTTTCAGGGTATGTCAACTTGGTTTGGAAATTATTTTGTTTCACGACCCAAAATACTTCATTCCAGGTTCTTTTTGATTTGATTGTTTTGTGTTGACAAACCTGCCATGATGCTGATGGGTTTTCTATTGAAGTGATCTGTTTCTTTGTTCTAGAAGTGTCTTAGTTACTCTTCTCTCATTTCTGGGACAAATACCCAACACCCAAATTGAAGGAAGGAAAGGTTTATTTAGCTCACAGTTACTGGGGGTTTCAGTCCATACTCACCTGGCTCCAGGGCGGCCTGGCACATGACAGAGAGCAACCTTTCAAGGTGGCAGCAAAGAGCAAGAACCAAAAAGAGGAGTAGCAGCAGCTCAAGCAGCTTAACTTCTCTTTCCACCTTACTTTGAAATGCAAATTACCTGCTTCAGGGCAGGTGCAGCATCCACACCCACATTAATTACAAACTCCAGAAGCCTCTCCAAGACTGCATGAGGCTTTGGAGGAACAACTATACACAAACCATAACAAGCAGCTTTTTATATTCTACTCTTGCTGAATTTCTGATATCTTGATTATTATGTGTATAGGTGCCAATTTATTGTGCTTATGGCTGTGTAGAGTTCTACATGACTCACTTATCTGTGTATCAGTTTCTTTTGTCATGTTTAGAAAATTTTCTGCTAGTACTTCTGAATATAGTCTTTTTATGTCATTTGTGCTATCTCTCGCTGCTTCATTACACCTATCATTCTTATATTATTTTCTTTGCATTGTATTGTAGCTGCTAAATTGTAATTTCCTGGTTCCTTGTTAGTTTTAAGACATTTTTTTATTTCATGTCCATTAGGTGCAACACTGTCTTCAAGGTCTGAAAGTCTATCTTCAGTTTCATTCAAGTGGTTTTGCCAGCTTTTAATGGAGTTCTTAATGTCCTAGATATCTGTTTGAATCTGTTTCATGCATTCTGATTCTTTCCTCTATTGTTCATTTACTGTTTCCATTTTTCTGTTCTCTCCTTTTTGTTTCTGTGTCTTCTTTTATTGTGCTTAGCAAGTCTTTTTTTTTTTTTTTTTTTTCCATTTGTGTATTTGGTACAGAGTCTCACTATGCAGATTAGACTTGTGGTGATCCTCCTGTTTTCAGCTTTTTCAGTGCTGGGATTACAGGCATGCACCACCATGCCCTGACTCTTGCTGGCTCAGCATGCCCTAGGGGTGGGCTGGCTGGCGTGGCATGTGGGACTGGGGATCAAAGCCTGGTCCTTGCGCTTGCCAAAGCAGGTGTGCTTAGCAATTCTTTCACGATTGTTGTCCTTTCGTTTTTAGACCTTAGAGATTATTTCTAAGATTTTATTTCTACTATAGCCTGATGGATTTGTTTCTTTACTTCAGTTGCTGTCATTCAGAGATTTCAAGTGTGTGATTTCCAAGTTCTTGTATGTCTTCATCTTGTGAATTTGTACTGGGTAGAAACTGCCTTTTGCTCCCAGTAATCACCCAGAGTCTGCCAGAGTTCTTAAACGGCACCAGGAAAGCTCCACACCTGGGTGCCCTTGGCCCATAGATCTCAGCTCTTCTGCGGGCCACTCACAGTCCTCCTATGTTCTTAAAAGATTGGACCACACTTGCACACTAAGGGCTAAGGAAGCTCAGAGCTTACCAGAGTCCTGCAGACTTCCCAGAGTCCGCCAAAGTTCTTAAATGACTGCCTATGTGTTTTGTGTGTGTGTATGTGTATATGTGTAGGTGCATGTGCATGCAGTTTCTCACTGTGCAGCTCAGATTCATAGTAATCCTGTTTTCAGCCTTCCTAGTTCTAGGATTACAGGTGTGTGCCATCATGCCCAGACCCTATTGCTGGCTCAGCATGTCCTGGGGTGGGGCTGGTGCGACATACAGTACCAGGGATCGAACCCTGACCCCTGCACTTACCTAAGCAAGTGCTTAGTCTACTAATCTATCTCGCCGACGCTGCCCATGAGTTATTTATTTATTTATTTGTGTGTGTGTGTGTATGTGGCCAGCTCAGCCCACCAGGGGGCAGGGCTGGCTGGCATGTGGTGCTAGAGGATTGAACCGTGGTCCCTGTGCTTTGCTAAGCTTGTTCTAAGTAGATGCTTTAGACCACTGAGCCATCTCACCAGCCCCTCATGTGTGTGTTTTTTTTTAATGAGATAATTGTATTTTTTTTTTAGAACTTTTGCCTAGTAAACTTCTGTTATACCTCCTGTGCAGAAATTCAACACTTTCTCCCTCTTTTCACTTTTTCTAGGTTTTAAAGTTTATTTCATTAGCTTTGCTGTGTGAGATTAACTGTCTAAGTCTAGTTTTACAATTAGTTTAACCTTATGTCCAGTCTGATCTGTATCTGCTAAAGCAGACAAAGAGAAGGCATTGCTGTCTCTTTTTGACATTAGCATACATAATGGACCTAAGTATGTGTTTTATTCTTTTTTTTTTTTTTTCAATCAAATTGATAGGACAGTTTCAATAATTAACACAATGCATACATTCTGTTTTATTCTTAAATATCTTTGTGGACTCGCCCTTGACAGCACATACTTCAGTAGAGTTTAACTTGTTTTCCCAACACATTAGCTTGCATTGCAATGTATTAGCCGTGTTGTAATAGTATTGGAACTTGCTGTGCGCTGTCTTTGTGCACTACTAGTTGAACTTAGTTGGTTGGTACATTGGAAATGTGCTGATTACTTTCCTTTCTAGGTGTTTTATTTAGAAATAGTCTTAGGATTAGTTCCTCATAGAGGGCTTTCAGAGAATACAAGTACCCAGCTTTTTATTTAAACTTCCTCATCCAGGTCCTTGTTTGCTACTAAAACACTGTATTTCCAGGAAACCGTAAGATGGCTATTTGGGTTATCCTGGGAATCTTGTTATAAAGCCTTCTCTTTGTCTACTTTGGCAGATACAGATCAGAGAGGGTCAGACCTTTCCTGTGATCTGTCAGGCATGTGGTAAAATACACTTTTTCTCCTCAAGGCACAGTTCAGCAGAAAGACAAATTTGTTATGATATTTGTGCATTGCCAGCACTTTGGAGCCCAGTTAAAGGAGTTTCTTTAAAGTGTCATTATGAATTCCATTTCAGCTACTGGTAGTTAGTTCAGTGAAAACTAAAGTAATGTGAAATCATACATCATAATCAATGAGTGAAAATGAAGAAAAGAAATTGATATTATTATAAAATTCCTTGGGGCTCTTCAGAAAATGGAAGCTATGAAAGCTTTTATGTTCTTTTATTGATATCATCCACATAGGGTATCATTTTACATGTGTGACTTTATCCTTTATATGAAAAAAATATAATATTCCTTTGAACTTAGAATTGGTTTGTATCTAAAACTGTTTTTTTTTTTTTTTTTCTCTCGGAACCGGGGATTGAACTCAGGCCCTTGCGCTTGCCAGGGAAGCACTTATTCCACTGAGCCATCTCCCTGGGCCCCTGTATCTAAAACTTTTTAACAGTTGTTACATCAACAAAAAATTCTGATTTTGTTCTTTAATGTGATTTGCACTTCATCCTAGACATGAAAATAAGCCATGTGTTCCTAGTCCAGCACAGTTAATAAGAAGGAAATTCCAAAAGCCTAAGCCTAAACCAGATTTGGGAAGGGCACGCAGCAGAAAAGTAGAAGAATCAGGTAACAACAAAGGCCCAGCAGATCAGAGTGGAACAGGTAAACCAGAAGATGATTTGCCACACCAAGCAAATCCTGACACCCAGCTCCATGTGGAAGTAAGTTTGGATTTTTTCTTTTTTTTTTTTTTTTTTTTTTTATGGTTAGTGAACTCTTTTTAGGATCTTGAAGGAGAATGCAGATATTATTAGAATAAGGTTTGACTGTATTTTACATATGGGACATTACTAAAATGCAGGAAAATATTGTAAAAGTTTTCATAGAAAATTTAGTCCTTTTATTTGTTGCTCTGGGGATTGAACACAAGACATCAAACATGCAAAGCAAGTATTCTACCACTGGGCTACAGCCCCAGCCCAGTTTTTTTTTTTTTTTTTTTTTTCTCCCCAGCCTAGTTTTGATGGAGAAATAAGAAACTTATCATATGTGTATATGTGTAAGCATAGAGATTTAGACCAAACTGCTAAACCACATTAGCAACATAAAGATTATTTTTATGATAATATTAGCTGTTTCATCTTATGCTTAAGGAAGAAGCTCAAATTGTGATATCTCCAGAGGTTTCAGCAACAAAAGATTGTAAAGGTTCTGAAGAGTCTATCTTGGCCAAAAAAGATGCTCAGTTAGAAAAAGTTGGACCATCAGACAGTGTTAGAGAGGAAACTACACGAGATATCTCTGTGTCTTCAGTTGTTGAAGAGCAGCGTTTCAGTAAACTAAGAAGGTAACATTTAACAAATACCAAGAATAAGAAATAAAAATCACCTGTTCTTCATAGCTGTCCTACTAACATGCCGATACTGTAGATCAAAAAGATGACTTGTGAACATAAGTGAAGATTTTCCTAATATTTCTTTTCTCTTTTTTTCTGTTCATTTGTAGCAGTTTACTCTTTTCCTGATTTTCTTTGTAAAATGTTTCTTTTCCAGGTAGATTTCTATGTGTTGAGTCTATTAGATGGGAACAGAAACCTGATCAAAGAATAGTATACATAGTCTAAGTAATTAGAGTGCTAGTTTGAGAGGGATTATAACCACAAATAAAAGGCACCCTTCTTTCATACTTTTCAAAGAAAGTGTGAAGGAATCTGAGCTCTAAAAAACACTGGCCTGGGGGTTGCTTGCCTAACGTGTGTGAGGCCCTGGGTTTGAGTCTCAGCACCACAAAACAAAATAAAAGGAAAACAACCCACCAGCATTGATCTGATTGCGTTTCTGTTTTTTTCTCTTTTTTAATCTAATCCCTTTTTCTTCTAGTAATTTCCAGTTTTGTGTTTATCTTTACTGTATTATGGAAGAAAATAGCTTAGAATTGAAAGTGTACCTCACAAACTTTGTAGAAAACCGAGAATTAACTCTACATGAGAAACTAAGTAGTACTTAATTCCTTTCTTATTTTCACACTCTTAAGTTTTTGAGAGGACTTGGTGGTGACAGGTGTTCTTTTTTGGGGTGGGGGTATACCAGAAATTGAGCTCAGAACCTTGCACTTGCCAGTCAGGCTGTGTGCCACTGAGCTATAGCCCTGGCCTGATAATATTCATTTTATGGCTGGAAATCAGAGTTCATTGTATAACTTGATTTTCATTAAAATCCTGGTGCATACATGACAATATTGTTGTTTTGATTAAACATCCAGAGGCCTACAACATTTGAAAGAATCAAATTACTCTAGAACTGCTCTGGATGGAAGAACTACGATCTCTTCTGCATCTGGGAGTGAGACAGATCACGGTGAAAAGAGAACGCAGAGGAAAACCAAAGCGAGTGTCCCCAGAGGGCGGGGAACCAAGCGGGCTCGGGCAAAGACTTCTAGGAAGGAACCGAGGGCTCCCAAGGCCATGCTGGTGACTCTTCGGGCTTCCCAGGAAGAAGACAATGAGAATGCCCAGGACTTTGAATCTGACTACGAGGAAGAGAGCTACCATCTTGCCCCAGAGGAAGTAAACAAAGCACCGGTGTTTGTCCCTCTTGGTCTCAGATCCCCTGAACCTGTTTCTGCTCAGATTGAGGAAACAATGGAAGAGGTAGTTTTGTTAAATACTTGGCACTTTCTTGTACTTATTTTTTTCTAACTTTTTTTTTTTTAATTAAGTCGATCACTATTTTTTCTTTTAGTGATTACTGAGATTTAGAGAGTTCATTTTCCAGTAATTGCTGTGAACCATAAATTGTCTGGAGTCTTGCTTTAGGAATGAGGAGAGATAGGTCTGTGACTACCCAGCCCTTATAGCCCAGGCTCATCAAGAGGATCACAATTAAAAACAATGATAGAAATAGGCTAACACTTAATCTGGAAGATACTTGCTCTGCTCCTTTTGTTATTTTTTACTCCATATTGGGGAGTAAACGTAGGGCCTTCACAATGAGCTGTATTTCCACCCCTTTTTAGATTTTGATATTTATTGATTTATTGATTTATTGCAGTACTAGGGATTGAATTCAGGACCCTGCGCTTGCCCGGCAAGCGCTTATTCTACTGAGGTATCCCCCCCAACCCCCCTTTTTGATTTTTTTTAGACAGGGCCTTGCTAAGTTGCCCAGGCTAGACTTCAACTTCAGATCCTCTTGCCTCAGCCTCTGAAGTGCAGTGATTACAGGCATGTGCCACCATACCTGATATGCCTATTGGACATTTACAAACATTTTTCAAATCTGATGAAACACAGAACACAGTGTTATTATAATAGCTCCTTTCTTCCTTCCTTCCTTCCTCCCTCCCTCCCTCCCTCCCTCCCTCCCTCCCTCCCTTTTCTTTTTCTTTCTAAGGTACTAGGGTTCAAACCTAGGACCTTGCACATACTAGGCAAGTGCTGTGCCAGTGAACTGCATCCCCAACTCTTGTAAAACCTATATTTTTAGGATATATTTTGATACTTGATTCATTATTCACAATTTATACTGAATTGGGCAATTTTTTCACTTATCTTTCTGTTAAAAATAAGAGCTATACTTTAGGCTTTGAATCAATATATTTTTATGCCCCTGAATATAGGGTTTTTTGATTTGTAGGGCTGTCAAGTGAAAAGTGTGAGTGAATCCATTTCCATGGATGTCAAGAATCATGTAGCTGGAAATGGTGGAACACACCTTTAATCCTAGCACTCGGAAAGCTGAGACAGAAGGATAGCCATGAGTTTATGGTCAACCTGGGCTCTATAGTGAGGTCTAAGACCAGTCAGAACTACATAGTAAAACTCTGTCAAAACAAAACATTGTTTTGGCTGTGGGGGTGATAGGACAATTTTTTTCCCTTCCAGTACTGGGAATGTAACCTGGGGCTTTTCCCCTAAGCCATATCCCCTGCCCTTGGTTTTACTTTTTATTTTATTTTGAGACAAGGTCTCACTAACTTGTCCGTCTTGGCCTTGAATTTGTGATCCTCCTATCTCACCCTTACTAGAGTGCTAAGATATAGATATGTGCCATTTTGCTCAATTGTGATAAATCTTTTTAGGTACTTTAACTCATCTCCATTATTCCACTTACGACAGTGGATAGTTTGGTTAGTGTGTGTATTTCTCTCTTACATTGTGATTTCTTTGAGGCCAGGGTCCAACCATGTCTTACTTGACTTTGTATCCTTATATTCCTATAGTTTGTGGGGAGTACTTCATAAATGATAACAGAAAGAAGAAGTAAATTAGAGCAAAATGGGGACAAAATGGAGAATGAAAAATGAAATGCCAGGCCCTAAGATTAACTTTAGAAAATTGGATTATTGGTTGTAGCAGGGGCAGAACTCTCAGAAACTTTGTTTTACTTTTGCTAAGGTGTTCTAATCTAGTTTAAGAGCTATATTTCAGTGTTCTAATTTTGTACAAATGTAGATCTTTTTTTCACTATTTTCTTTTTTGGTACTGGGAATTGAACTTGGGACTTCATGCTTGCTAGGTAGGCACTGTGCCACTGAGCTGCATCCCCGGCCTCATTTCTTTTTAACATTTCAGTATACTTAATGTAGAGCATAAGATTTTGTTTTACTGTTCCTAGAATTACCAAAATGAAATTATAAAACTTTATTTTCATAGCTCGAAATAACTGTGAATGTTGCAGATGTTGGATGTGTAACTGTTGTTGAACATCAGCTCTCAAATGCAGATGGTGCTCTTCAGAAACCAGAGCAAGAATGTAATTTGAATATTCCATTTGTAAGTGTCCATTTTAATTTTTATTCTTTATTTGCTTTCAAAAAACTAGAGGGTTTTATTTAGAAGGCTTTAGTTTATAAACAGTTTTTAGCTACTCCTGTATGGGAGATGCTAGTTTGAATAATAAAAACTTGCAGATAATGGATTTGAGTTTGACTTGAAAGCATTGAAGTGTGTGTGTGTGTTTGTGTGTGTGTGTAGAGCTCTT